GCGTCCCGCCCAGCCCCAGGGAGCGCACCCCAGGGGTGGGAGAGCCAGTGGCGGAGCCACTCAGAGCACAGCCTGGTGGTGGGAGGCAGGTGGGAGCCAGGGCTGCTCTCTGACTGGCTTCCACCAGCCCCACAGAGTTGAGCCTGGTGGTGGGAGGTGAGGGAGAGCCACTGGCCAGGGCTGCGCTCTGAGTGGTTCCGCCGCTGGCTTTCTCTCCATGTCCTACCACCAGGCTGAGCTCCGTGGGGCTGACAGAGCCGGTTGGGGTGCAGCCCTGGCTCTCCTCCACCTCCCACCACTGGACTGCACTCCAAGCGGCTCCACCAGCCCCACGGAGCTTCGCTTCACAGTGAAAGGTGGGAGAGAGCCACTGGCCAGGGCTGCACTTCAAGTGGCTCCACCAGCCCTATGGAGCTCAACCAGCCATCCCAGCACTGCTGTACTCTCCTGGTGGCGCGAGCCTCCAGATCTGTATGCGGGATGACAGGAGGCTGCTGCTGCTGCCTGGGACCAGTGGCAACACCTGTCTTCCTGTCACTGGGTGCGGGCTGCGCCCAGCGCTGGTCTCAGGCAGCAGCAGCAGCTTCCTGTCATCCCAAGCTCATATCCGGGGGTCTGCACCCCTGGGAGGAGTCTGGCACAACCCCGCAACCCTCCTGGGGGTGCAGGCCCCCAGATCTGCATGTGGGATAAAAAGAGACTGCTGCTGCTGGCAAGTTTTGCTTTTTGCAGTTTGAGGTGCAGTTTCCCAGAAACCGCTGGGCCTACCTCCTTGAAACTTGGCAGGCTCATTTGGTTGAACACCTTCTTGTCTACACCATTGTTGCCCAAAACATGCTACATGTTTATATAGTGACTTTTTTCTTATACTGACTTTGTTCTCTTACTGCTTTTTGGGCAGGTATGGTACAATAGTGCCAACTTCTGAAACAAGTTCCTTTATTAATGTCTCAAGCTTTCAGTCTAAATCATCTGTCAGTCAAACAAGGTAAAGTTTATGGTATGCGTATACCAGACTGTTGAGTGTAAGCATGACTTCAAACTATTGTTCCATATCTAAATCCAAGCTGTTCAGTAAAAGGTTATTATTGTGCACCTTGAAATGCTTTGTTTGGTTATTTCTGGGAAAAGGTTAAAAATAGAAAAAGTCACGTAGAAAATCTTGACAGGTCACATTCTTTTTTCAAATATTTTTGCAGGATTCTGTTGTACCATTAACATTATTGGCGCTCATTTAAAAATCTTAGTTTGGGGGCAAGAGGCCTTTTTTCTCTTCCTTTTTTCCCCTCATGCATCTCCCATGTGATATAGTGATTAGGAGGAAAAGAACATTAAGAGTGAGGAGTACAAAAAATGTAAATTGGAAAATACTCGGGGAGGGAATCCATATGATGGTGACCAACTCACTATCTTACTATGTCTTTTAAGGTGTTTTTATTTAATAGTATATGATTCTGATCCTGAAGTGGGCCACAGAATAACTTTTAATACACGTTCATGCTGTTGTGGAAAACCAATCTATGTCCTGTCTGCAGTTCCTTCAGTGAGCTCTGTTCAAATCAGTCCTTCACCCCTGTTAAGCTGATTGCATGATGGGGATTTAAACTTGTGAGCTATAAAAAGTTCAGAGCTTTTACTGAAATCTGATAATTTTTTTTGTTTAAGAAAAATTATTTTGTCTATGGTAACATTGACAGCTTGATGCATTGCCCACTGATGGCAACAGAAATCTTCCCATCAATTTTAGTTTGTATTGATATGGGACATTATTTATGTTAAAATTTTCAAATGGTTAGTTCAGTGTTTTTCTTGTGCTATTGCTTTGTTGCGATCTCTCCTTTTTTTTTTCTTTCTGTTGTCTCCCTTGGGGATTAAGCTTTCACACTAGAAAAGTGCTTCCAGAAAATCCACTGGAGAGTCTACCAAAATTTGCTCCCAGTCCTGCTCCTTTTCCTTCTTCCACCCAGAGCTCAAAAATTAAGAGCAGTGCTGCTGCTGCTGTATCTGCTGCCGTTGCTGTACGGGCCAGGTAGAAATCAGCTGTAAAATGATGACTTTTTAAATTTTTATAAATTAGGTTAATAAAACTCATGCTTAAAAATGTGTTTGACTGAGATGCAAAATAGGCAGTGGATAGCTTTCACAGTAGCAGAATGAAGAGGCATTTAAACACATACCTCTTCATCCTGTGAGACACTGGAGATCTGGCAGGTCAGAGCAAACTCAATCAGGTCTGCTCCACACACAAGCTGATGCACACTGTGATGCATCACATGCAGTTGTATAAGCAGCGAAATGCGCATCAGAGCACAGAAAATGGTAGTGTGCTTTTGAATTAAAAAACCTTTGGCAGCACAAACATGTATACAAGTGCCCGAGGAGTGTACAAAGTTTAGCCAAGATTGCTGTGCTCTGTTCCTAGTTCTGCTAGTGATTTGCTGCATGACTCTTGGACAAATAACTTTTTCACTGTTCTGAGACCAGTAATACTCCATTTTACTTCTAAGTAAACTAAAAAACAAAACAAAGCCAATATTGACCTTACATAGGAAGGGGGGATTACCTGACATTTGTAAACAGTTCTTAGAGCCTTAGATGCTGAGGGCTATATTAGGACATATTGTTTTTGTAATAATACTTTTTTTAATACGTGATTTTACAAATACTATAATTTCAAACTAGGTCATTCAAGTTGTTATATCGCTTTTTAGTTTTGGCTCTTGCCATACTATTATGGAAACCATTGTAAAGCTTAGGCTTCTTGTTTTTAATAGTTACTTTCAATTTTAAGTGTTGTTTGGCTATTTACAAGGTCTTTCTAAATGCTTGATAGACTCTCCAATCCTAATGTCTACCGCTCACTCTTGGATGCCCTGCTCATCACCCCTATCAGTAAACCTCCTCCTCTGCAAACTGTCAAGCCCTCCAGGAAATCAACAAGTGCTTTGGAGTTAAAAAGTAATAAGAGGTATTGTCTGACATGTGTGACACTGATGTTTGGCTAATAAAACACCCGTTTTTATATAAATAACTTTTCTGTTGGCTACCTCTTAACTATTTGTTATGTTTTTTTGTATAGCATTATCATTATGGTTTACCACTAAATCCACTTCGTAGAACTGATCTGCATTTTGGTCTTGCTGAAACAGTTGTGAAGTCTCACCAATTAAGCAAAAGTTTCTTAAGTGATGTCATGATTGCCTTTAAGATATATAGTCCTGTTTGTAAAGCTCAGTGAACCTTATGGAGAAAGGAACACTACTTTAATTTATTGTAGAAGAAACAATATTCTCAGACTTGAAATCTTTAGTGTGAATAAGGTATTGACAACAGTGTTCCTATGAGTAAGAAAGCTGTATGTTATGCTACAAATGCTGTTGGAACAAAGAGCTTGTTTTTTGTAAATATTCACTTTCAGTATGTAAAACCTAATAATGGGCATAGGTGCAGCAAATATTTTTAATTTTTTTTTCTGTCTAGACCCTTTGTTCAACTGTTAGATGTGCCAGGACTTTTTGTTCTCATTTCCTGACCACAGCTATGTAGTTCCTTGCATATGAGAAAAGCTCCGTCTGTAACTGACTTCATTCTCAAAGCCAGAAATCTGCTTGGGTGCTTTAAAATGGCAATGATTTGTTAGTTCTTTTCAGCCAGCATCTTAGAGGGGAGCCTCCAGTTGAGTTGCAAATAGTTTACACTTACTTGTGGTGTTGTTCTTGGATAGAGTGCACATAAGAGACAAATTTTAGGTGAAATGAAGCTCTTCAAGAGATCTCTTTAAGAGTCTCTACAAAAATGTTGTGAAGAGGGGTAAAGTCTATTCAGACCTGAGCAATGATTAAAGCATACTTAGCTTTTGGGAGGTTCTAAAAATTGTGGGCCTATGAGGGAGGGAAAAGATCCTGAAACTGCTTATTTTAAGTTTTCATTGTGCTTTTTCTGTGTTATGACAAACTTAAGGTAACTCAACTAATATTAAGGATCAATAACCATTTTTCCTTTTGACTGACTCCCTGGAGAAGTGCTCTTTATGTATACCAAAAGAGAGAGCCTTTCAGAAATGCTGAAAGTTCCCTAGTATTCTTGTCAGATCTTTGTCCTAAGGGTTGAGCTGTGACCTTATTGAAGTCAATGGGAGTGTCTTCACTGGTGTTTGCACAGCCTGGATTTCTTCCTATCTCTGTATTTCCTGCTTGCAGGATGTTTTACCAAGATAAATTATGAAGACAGAAGTTAAGTTGTTCATAGATAATTCACTGACTTCAGTAAAATCACAACACCTGCCTTGTTCCCCCCCATCCTTTTTTTTTCCCCCTTCTATTCTGGTTGGCAAGTCTGATGGAATTATCTGTTGGGGGTAGTATAGGGGCAATGGGGCACAGTGGTTTTTTTCATCAAAGGTAAGAGGCAGGCTGAGTGGAGAAAAAATCCCTAATTGTAGAAAGAAATCTCCCCTTTAAGGGTAGCCTGTGAGGCTCTCTACTCTCCCATGTCAGCAAGTGAGTTTTGGTTATTGTAAGCTTTAAACAGATATGAAGAGGAATGTAAACTCAAGATAACTCAAGTTGCAGACACTGAAAGTTTGTTAGGATTTTTTTCTTATTAATGAACATGGGAGACTCTCTCCTTTTAAAAGTCTGTCGTAACTTTTCTCACGGAGACATATTCCATGTTCCTGTTAGACATCTGAACTTGACCGTGGTCTGTCATCTTGGGTGAATACCCTGGCATTCTCTCTTTCAAAGAAAGCTTTGTTCCCCTGCCTCCAGTCAAGTCTTAGGTTAGCTTCTTCTCCCCCATTACTCTAGTAGCTATACAGAGATACTGTAATGCTTAAGTATTGAATTCTTTAGAGTAGGTACTGAGTTTGAAAGCGAGTTTGAATGTTGTGTTGCTGAGTAACCCCAAAACCTTGAGAGATGCAACCTAGGAGGCCATTCAGCGGGGGAGGCAAAGGTTATGGAGAGGCATGTCACTACTTTTGTCCCCAAGACTAGTGGCCTGTCCCCCAAAAAAAGATTCAAATTAAGTCAAGGGAGCAGGGAATCCTGATTAAAACAACTTAAAGAAAAATTTCAATTTTTTGAAGAGGGGTTAGACAATTCTTTGTGTTTGTTTATTTTTTAATTTGAAGTAAGCTGTAATTAATAATATCGTTTTAAGACTGGCAGTTCTGACGTATGCAAACAGATTTTGGTGTGTGCTGACTGACAGTAGTATGGTATTTAGATATTATTTTACTGTATAATTTGCTTAAGAAAAGTTTCTTACAAATGTCCCAGATTGTACACAAACCAAAATATTTTCAAAATGTAAGTTAACAGTATCATGTCTCTGAACACGGTACAAAATCTATAACCTTGAGGGCTAGTTCAGTATAATGAAAAGAAAAATTGATCATTAGCCTAATGAGAATACAGAACTTTTTGAGCACTTATGTCTTGCCCTGAATTTTTTCCGCATTCCTAAAAAAGTTGGGCCAACATGGATAATGAAGCAGTAGATGGAAACAAAACATTATCACTTTTTGGAAAGAAAAAGGTCACATAAGAC